GAGCCACTCAGCAGACACCCCCGAGGCCGAGGCCAGTCTCCTGGCTGGGGGCCGCGGAGCCCCACGGCCCCTGGGCGGCCCTTGCCGCGTTTCCAGCCAGGCCGGCACGGCCTCCAGGCCGGGGCCCCAGGGCTGCCGGGGCGGGGCGACACCCTCCCGGGCGCAGGTTGCCCCTGGCCACGCGACCCCCACGGGGCGGGTGCTAGCTGGGGGGCAGCCAGAGGTTCTCAGCAGCCTCCTGGCCCGTCAGGTGCCAAGAAACCCGAGAGCGGGGCGCAGGCCCGGGCGCCCCACACAGCCACCTGGAGCAGGTGTGCCCGGCCCTCGGGCACAGGCCACAGGCCACGCCGAGGCCCCACGCGCGGGGCCGCAGACCGTGTCCGGCCGTCCTGGGCGTCCGGGAGCGTCGCCCCTTCTCTGCCACCATCTCCCCGTGGCGTCTCCCTGTGTGTCTACAAACCCCCTTCCGTGAAGACCCTGGGGTCCCCGATCAGGGTCTGGCCCACAGCAGAGCGGGGACACTGCCTTGGCCCGGCTGAGCTCGGGGACCAGCCGGGGCCTCTGAGGCTCCTGTTCCGGGGCGTGCTCATGGCCCCCCGTTGTCAAAGGTCTGCGCCGAAAAGACAAAAGAAGGGCATGAGCTCTTCCTGGGGACCAAGGCCAGCGGTGGGGTGGGGGGGCGCTGGGGCCTGAACCCCAGCGCGCGGCCGGCGTCCACTTCCACACGCCCACGTGGGTCCTCCCCGGCCCCCTGCCGTCGCCCCCTCCCGCTCCGGTGGGAATAAGGTCAGGGCCCTGCCCCGGCCCTCCGGCCACCCCCTGGGGTGTGCTCACTCCGTCTCCAGCGCGGACGGCCCAGCGGCCAGCTCCCCGTGGCCAGGCCCGCCCGTGGCGCGCAGCACCCACCGCTGTCCCCGCGGCCGTGAGGCCACAGGGCTCTAGGGCCGGCCGGGGGCTCGCCGTCCTCCCGCTCACCCGCCTGCCCGGACGTCCCCTTCCTGGCCATGGCCTGGGGTGAGTGTCCGTCCCTGGCGTGGCAGGCCACGCCCCAGTCCGGCCCGCTGCTCCCGTCCCCGCGCTCCTTCGCTAGGCTGCCGCCATGGCCCTTCCCAGAGGGCACGCTGACCTGTCACCTGCCCACGCCCCGCCACCACGCCGACTGGCCCTCGCTCTGAAACGCCCCCGGCCAGCGCACCCCGCCCGCCTCAGGCCCAGAGCGTCGCCTCACGGGGCGGCCGGTCCTCCCAGGCTGTGCCTGAGCCGGGACCAGCGTCCACACGCCACTCCTTGCTCCCGCAGCACCTTCACTGGCATTTCTTCAGTTTTCATTGCTGTCGGCAAAGGTGTCTGATGGCCTTTTTCAAAGATTTACTTTTATTTGTTTTGCATAGAAGAACTGGGGTACAGGCCAGAGGTGCAGGGGCTGAGAGGACGCCCCAGAGACAGAGCGGGGAGCAGAACAAGCCGATCCACCGAAACTCACTGCTGGGGTGTTGGGGGGGGGACAGGAGGGGCCTGCCGCGCCCTGGGGGTCACCCCCTGGCCCGGGGTGGGACTGGTCACCTGCATGGTGCTGAGACTTAACCCCTGCAGCACCTGGAGGCCCCGGGCTTTAAATTTTCTTTCCAGAAACAGAGACCTTTATGCAGGCCCGAAAGAGTCCTCCTAACTGCCAGCTTTGAACTGTCCGTCCCTGCGGAGAGGAGACACACGCGGGTCTGAGGCTTCAAATCCCGCCGGCCGCCGCGCAGTGGACTCTCCTTTCCGCAAAGGCCTGGTCCCTGCTGGCTGGCACCGGCCCCCAGCTGTGCGTGAGGCCAGAGCCGCCCTCTAGTGGGCGCTGGGTGACAGAGCGGGGAGCAAACAGGAGGATCCACAGACACCCAGTGCTGAGGGAGCTTCGGGGAGACAGGAGGGTCTGCTGCGCCCTGGGGGTCCCCTCCGGGGCGAGGGTCGCGCGGCAGTGGCTGCGGACAGCTTCACAGTGCTGCGCTTTAACCTACCGCGCCACCAGGGAGGCCGGCTGATGCCCGGCCGGGTCACTAGCCTCTGAGGATGACCACAGCTTCCCTCCAGCCCTGCCCCGGCCCAGGGAGAGTCCATCCAGGGTGACCCCCTCTTTGGACCCGCCATTCTTTAATGGGAATATTCGGGGTGGCGGCGGCGTCTCCCAGGTGATGGAAGCGCCACGCTGCAGGGTGCTCTAACCTGGGGTTCGGGAACAGCCTCTGCGGCGCTGCGCCCCGAGTTCTGGGGTGACCTGGAGGCACCCGACTTTCCCATTCCTGCAGTGGAAGTGAGGTCTGCGCCGTGAGCGCGCCCAGTTTTTGCCTCGAGGCCTCTTCCGGGCTCTGAGACCCAAGGCTGTGCCCGCTGTCCCCGCGG